AGATTGCCCAGGCAGCCATAGCCTTGGCTGTAACAATAAACATTTTTTCAGACTTTAATTTTTGTAAGAAAACGTAGTAAGATGGAGATTGAAAAACAACTATTTAAGGCAAGATTCACATGTCCAAGGAAAACAAAATACCCTCAAAAAATATACAGAGGGCTGTTTGAACAGAGTCCTTGAGTCTTCTGTGAATGAACTTTACATTTAAGCAGAATTATCTTTAATATTTGATGCCCTCACCACTCATCAGTGGTAATTTATATTGTGGCTAAACATAAATGGTATGAAATTATTCATATATTGTGGCTTTAAAGTGGATACAAGAGACTTGTCCTATAGGATCCAATGATCCAATCCATGACACCAGAATTATTTAACGCTTTCATTAGTTAAGCCTCACAGCAGCTTCCCTGTGACTGATGTACACCATTCTAGAGATTACAGCTGTTAGTGGGCAGTATTTAGCATCAAAATCTGATATTTAGAAATACGTTTATGTTTTTTAAGATGAAGCTAAGTGGAATGCTTTGAATTTTTTATAAGTTAGAGCAGTGAAAAGAAGGAAGAAAAATGTTAACTGGTCAGCGCCATGCCAACCTTAAACACTTCACAACATGCTACCCAACTGTCAAAACATACTAATGAGATTTTGAGTCTGTTTTTGTTTCAGAGTGCTTGCAGTGTTTCACTGCAAAGCATTTTTTTATGTATGCAAATGCATTTTGCTACACCCGTATTTGAAAAAAATTACATATGTTGAATGTATGGATAATATAAAGAATCATCTGTGGTTTGTTTGCAATGGCCCATTAACCTCTAGAGTCCTGAGCTTTGGAAACCCAAGCTGTGCGGTCCTCATATGAGGACGCAGGGACTCTAGAGGTTAAGTGATGGTAGACTGATGGGAGGACAAGGGATCATTGGTCAAATAAGAAAAATAACACTGTGGCCCTAACACACTGTGGCCCTAACACTCTGTGGTGAGTGTTAGGGCCAGAAATGTGTGACATCCTTCAATGTGTAAACTTTGTTCTAAATAATATTAATAATGATAAGATCAATTGTAATATATACAGTAAGACACTGCTGGGTCAGTTTTAACTAAAATGATCAATTTTAGCACTGTGGTACAATATTTAAATCAATTTCTTGTTATTTTAAGTAATTGGGTTATTTGTCTGACCAGTTAGTGATAATATTTAATGTAAATTCTATCACCAAAACCCTGCATTCATGCTGATTTTTTTTTTCATCATACATCATCCTACTCTACTGTGTGTAAAACTTGGAACATGTTTCACAACATTTTGTTGACTTTGTCATTTTTCATAATGCTCCATTTTAACAGCGCACAGGCAGATGGGGCATGGCAGTATCTTCCTTCAAAGTCCTGCTTCACATTAATACACACGCTTTCATATTTGACTAAGAATAGTAAAGTGACACCTTTGTTTAGGGTGGTGACAGAGAGTAATGGGCCATGCCAGTGAAGAGAAATAGATACTGAGGACCATGCATAGTTTCTAAGGCAGAACCTGGGGGAATCGCATGCTTCAGTCACCATATGCTCCATACAGAACACTTCCCCCACAATCTTCAAACTAAACAGGAACAGAAGGAGGAGGCAGAAACAGTGATGACAGTGTCAAGCAAGATGTTTTTTAATATGTAAAAAAAAAAAAAGCATTTTTTTATATTAGGGAAAAAATGTCTTAATGGTTTGTATAAACTGTCGCTCCCAGATAACGGGATGGTTGATTTACAGTAGCCCCTCAAAACATGCTTTAATCTGCAAGTCAGAGCCACATCTCTCCTTTGCTTAGTTTGTTTTTTAATCATATTTTTGGCTTTATCTAGGACATTACCATCATTTGATATTTTTGTGAGTGATCTTCCAATATGAGCCAAACTGTCATTTTCACAAACAGGACAGAAACGAAACTGGATACGGTGTGACATTTAATTTTGTCAAGACATCTGTGTAAGAGTGAACACAAAAGGGGTGAAAACTAGTTGGATAACCAAAAATACATTTAGACTTGACTTCTTGATATTCTAAACTTTAAAGGATTAACACTGGATTCAAAACTCTTTTTAGCGCTTTGATGCTAAAATGTTAAGTTTGAAATGATGGATGTCTCTCAGTTCTCTCCACTGAGGTTTTATTGCATGTCAGCAGAAATCTTCAGCTAGGAATAAGCATTGAAAACTGAATCACATCAATCACATTTGGCACAAACCTCCTCCTGCTTGTCTTTGCTCTCTTACTTTACTTTTTAAGTTTTGGCCTCTTCTGGTCAAGTCATTCCCGTTAGGTGACCCTTGGACTGAGGGTTTTAGCAACTTCAGAGATCACTGGAAACTCATTCATGACACATTCATACAGACTGAACTGCAAGAATGTGAACTGCAGTTCATCCCAGCTGAATGTGTGAATGTGCATACAATAAGCCACTGATTAAGGTCTTGAGCTCAGTGAAGCGGTGGTTTAGTACAGATTTACTTTTTAAAAGGGCATTTAAGTAAAATAAATACATGAACAAAATTTTTTTAAATGGTTAAACATAGAATGCCGACTACAGGATTTTAATACATCAACAACAACCCTCTCATTTATTGCTCAGTTGACAAAAATTACTTATATCTGGTCTGTTAGCAGCCTCTGCTGGTGATGAAAGTCATAACAAGTAGCTTACTGTATGCACTTCAATGTACAGTACACCTTTTAGACATGCCATGAAATGGCTTTTGACAGATTGCATTTGGGCTGGGCAGATATTAAATCACTCATATTACACTGTCAATCCTGTAGCCTACATATTTTATAAAAGGATACTTAGCTGTCCTATACACACACACTACTTGTTTAGTTATTTAACAGTTCAACCTGTCTTTTAGGTAAATTATCCTTCCTGATACTTTTTTTGCTGCAGCCAAAATATAGAACACTAAGCCAAAAATAGAAACCACAACTGCTTTTATTTACCAAAGTGCCAAAGAAATTGCACAAGGAATTGCTGTTCACAAGTTACAAGACAGCCGCACACCTTCAGGTCAAGTCAATTAGCTGCAATCTGTCAGACAAAGAAAACTACAGTGGGTACGGAAAGTATTCAGACCCCCTTAAATTTTTCACTCGTTATATTGCAGCCATATGCTAAAATCATTTAAGTTCATTTTTTTCCTCATTAATATACACACAGCACCCCATATTGACAGAAACACAGAATTTGACATTTTTGCAGATTAAAAAAGAAAAACTGAAATATATATACACTGAAAGTATTCAGACCCTTTGCTCAGTATTTAGTAGAAGCACCCTTTTGAGCTAATACAGCCATGAGTCTTTTTGGGAATGATGCAACAAGTTTTTCACACCTGCATTTGGGGATCCTCTGCCATTCCTCCTTGCAGATCCTCTCCAGTTCTGTCAGGTTGGATGGTAAACGTTGGTGGACAGCCATTTTCAGGTCTCTCCAGAGATGCTAAATTGGGTTTAAGTCAGGGCTCTGGCTGGGCCATTCAAGAACAGTCACGGAGTTGTTGTGAAGCCACTCCTTCGTTATTTTAGCTGTGTGCTTAGGGTCATTGTCTTGTTGGAAGGTGAACCTTTGGCCCAGTCTGAGGTCCTGAGCACTCTGGAGAAGGTTTTCGTCCAGGATATCCCTGTACTTGGCCACATTCATCCTCGCCTGATTTTGAAGCTAAGTGCATGTGGCATATAGCAGTTTTCTACATACTGCGCTCTGTGAGCATCCAGCTTCTTTTGCAATTGCCTTTTGAGACTTTTCCTCCTTATGGAGGGTGTCAATGATGGTCGTCTGCACAACCGTCAAGTCAGCAGTCTTCCCCATGATTCTGAAGCCTACTAAGCCAGACTGAGACAATTTCAAGGCTGAGGAAACCTTTGCAGGTGTTTTGCATTAATTAGCTGACTAGATTGGGACACAGGGAGCCTACAATGTTGAACTTTGTCATGATATTCTAATTTTGTGAAATACTGGATTTGGGTTTTTTTTGTCTTTAATCCATAATCATCAAAATTGAAACAAATAAAGGCTTGAAATATTTCACTTTGTGTGCAGTGAACTAATATAACATACAAGTTTCACTTTTTGAAACAAATTATTGAAATAAATGGACTTTTCCTTGATATTCTAATTTTTTGGCACATACCTGTATAGACAGGTGTGTGGCTTTCCTAATCACGTCCAATCAGTATAATCAAACACCGCTGGACTCAAATGAAGGTGTAGAACCATCTCAGGGATGATCAGATGAAATGGACAGAGCCTAAGTTAAATATATGAGTGTCACAGCAAAGGGTCTGAATACTTATGACCATGTGATATTTCAGTTTTTCTTTTTTAATAAATCTGCAAAAATGCCAAAAATTCTGTGTTTTTCTGTCAATATGGGGTGCTGTGTGTACATTAATGAGGAAAAAAATGAACTTAAATGATTTTAGCATATGGCTGCAAGAGGGTCTGAATACTTTCCGTACCCACTGTATTTACAGTATACTGTAAATATCAAAATGCTAGAAATATGCATTCAAAGACCAAATGCTTTTCCTGTGCAACAGCACTAGCACACCAAATAACAACTTTGGCATATCTAAATCTGAATCAGAATCAGAATCTGCTGTATTGGCCAAGTGTGTACAAATGCAAACAGAAGTGAAAAGTAAATGTATGTTAGTATAATACTGAGAGGTAGCAATATACACGCATGTAGGATAATAATGTAAACAAAGCTTTGAGTAATGAAGCCTTTTCTCAGCATAAGGCAAGTAAGCCTACACACATGTACATGTGGACCAATCAATCAATAAATTTTAAAAGAAAACTAACCTGAATTAATATTTAATTTTATTTCAGTGAGACCTACAAATGCTCATTAATGCACATTTCAAGCAATGATAAAATAAATAAGTGAGAAGAAAATAACTTATTATTAGAAACTTTTTTATGAAAATCACCGGAAATGCTGATGTTTCTGTAGTAGTATGTTTGAAAGTCTTCCGGTGCTCGTGTCTATCAAAATGGCTCGTGTATTACTATTTAAAATTGCGGTTGTTTCCAGTGTTTTGTTTTGTGTATGCATGGATTTTGTATGTTGTAATAATGGCAGAAGGGTGCGTGTGGAATGCTTACTAAATAACTCAAATATTTGACTATTTAATAAAACCTGCACCTGTTAGCTAACGCTAACATCTAAGTGTTTAGCATTAGCCTAGGAAGGCTAACTGTACATTTTATTTTTATTTTCAGGTTGGTGATGCATTGGACACTGACTTCAATGTATTCTCCGTGCCTCTGGAACACTCATTTGAAGCTGGTGAGAAAGCTTTGCTATGGTTATGTTCTATAACACGTTTTTGCTAATGCTGGTAAGCTAATTAAGCAGCCTTTTGCTATCCGAATGGAGAGATGTACACACCAAACTCCATTCAAAAATCTGTCAGTTCAACATTTTTGATTTGTCGACAATTCAGTTTACCTGGCTCAACATAAGTGAAGACTTTACATTTGGTTATGTGTTTTATAAAATCCGCTATGTAAAACTAAGTTGCAACTGCGTTTTATTATTGACAATAATGTAGTTTACTTCATTGCGTTTTTATTGCATTATTTCCCTTAAGGAGACAATTTATTTTAGGTACGCTGGCAGCTTTGCTAGCAATACGTTGTGAAAAATATCTTCTGAACATTTTGTAACAGTGTCCAATTAAATTCTGTGTATATGTTGGCCTTCAATATGTAGAAGTTTTTAATGGACATTTACTTCCTCTTTGAATTTTAGAATCTCTTTTTTATCGTTTTTCCAACGAGTCATTAAGAGATTGATCAATAAACATTATGCCTAAATGTCCTGCTAAAATTTTCATTGAAAACATTAAATGTGTACTTGTGGTTTTATCGTTCCAGTGATTTATTAGTGGTGTCTGTCCTGTTCTTACTGTATATTGTCCTTCATGTTTCAGAAGATGTAGCAAAGTTTCAGGTTCGTGGAGCACTGGTGTTGAAAAGTGGAAGGGAGCCAAGTGTCTCACTAAGTCAGAACCAGCTATCAGAGGAAGACAGAATCAAACTGAAGGTAACCTATGATGATTAAAATTAGCAATTAAGTATTGTTAATTACCATAGATCAAGAGACTGCAGCAAGTTTATTACAAATTTATAATGACCACTGATGAGAAAACTTGGGCAATTCAATCTGAAGTTAGAGGCTGCACAGAAGAATTTTATTGTAACTGCCTCTCTATGTTTGGTTTGAATTTGGATGACTCCGCAGGAAGTGGCTGCAGTGGATGGTCTGTACAGAATCAGAGTGCCTCGTGTTTACCTCCAGGCAGACAGACAGACAGAGCGCCAGATGGAAGGTTACCTTACAGCATTTGTCAGAGCCGTATGTATTTTAGTGATCTTCTTCTGAAAAACACTTTACAGTAAGTTGCTCATTAAAACTTCATTGGGGAAATGAGAGTATTAGTACATGTAAGAGTTTCATCAGTATCTGAGTAGTTTATCCATTTTTTGTGAGATGCCTGCCATTAGTGGGACAAATTATTTACCAATAATGTCTCTTACAAGTTAAATTTGAAAGGATAATGAGAGTCTAGGCTTGTTTTAGCCTATAAACTGCAGTTACCTCTAATTTTGTTGATATATTTTTGTTTCATAATTGGTTTGTAGTCGGGCTGTGCCATATATACTGTCTGCATAATCTTAATTGCTATTTTAATGATGCATAACATAACTATAATAACTATTATTATAGTTATATTGATCTGATTAAGCTGCATCATATCAATTGTAGACTATTATTCTTGCAATGCTAATATGAACCTGCATTTTCATCTGATCTTCAGTGTGCCATGGTCGAGTCCCATCTGAGCGATGTGATCACCCTCCACACTGATGTCTCTGGGTACCTCATTGGTGTCTCCATAGTGACAATACCTGGTGCCTGTAGGGGCACTGAGGTTGAAGATGAAGTTGATCTTGAGGTTTTCAACACCACACTCAGCTTCATGGCTCCTGTAAACGCACCTGGGTCAGTCCTCGACTGCGTGTCTGTTCATTTGTTCTCTATACTTGAATTTATTCATAGTTGGCTTAGCAGCTTTACATACAGTATTTTCTCATAGGCTGTACAAGTCCCTCTGCGCTTTTCTTCCTTCCAGATTCACTTTGTGTTTGGGGATTTTGTTTGAACACTAATTGCCAACTTTGTTTCAGACCTGAGACAGCTCTGTTCCTTGAACGAATGGAACAGGAAACTGAGAAGAAAACAAAGAATCCACAAGAGCAGAAATCCTTCTTTGCTAAATATGTAAGTACTAGCCAATAATGCCAGCAGGCTCTGCCTTTGGTAATCAGGCCTTGAAATGGTTGCAGATTTTCAGTTTGTTCTCCCTGTTGCCATACATTTCAGACTTGTCTAAGGATGCTTTCATACCTTTAGTTTGGTTTGTACAAATGGTTCATAAAAATAGGCCATTTGAACATGTTGCCTGCACTCAGGGGCTTTTTTTTTCATTTTTGGTAACATTAAATGAAACAAATACCAAATTAACTTGCTATACATCACTTGTAACTGGAAGATTGCTTTCAGTTCAAAACCAGCAAATTCTAAGATTATTCTGTCCATAAAGTTCACATTTAAACTTCAGTAACACAAAAATAGGTCCGCTTTAAATAGTAATCGTGAGATTTGGTTTGTCTTCTCACATTTTGACTTGTCAGTTGCCATAAAAACATCTCTCCGTCTGAGCCGCATTTTTTGGAAATGTTCCCACAGAGAACCCAGTGTTGTGTCTTGTCGATTGGCTCGTGTGAGCTCTTTTATGATCTCTCTGTCTTGTTTTGCACTGTGCTGTGTGTAGCTGTCTTGCTGTGCCCAGTGACCTGTGCTGACTTGGTGTTGTGCTGTGTTCCAGTGGTATTTGATTCTGGGAGGTGCAATCTTCCTCATGGTCACCAATTCGGCACAGCCCCCAGCAGGGGGAGACAGAGAGCAGAGCTGATTCCACTGAAGTACTGTATTTGTGGCTTGTCCTGTCCCCCTTCCTCTTCTGTCAAGCTTTTTATTTAACTTCTAAACAGTGTGACTAACTGACACCCACCTGCCTGTTTCCCACTAATGTCTTTTTCCACTATTTGATTGTTTTTTCCAGGTCCAATGTCAATACATTTCAAACTGCTACATTGTCATATAAAGCTCACATTTTTGTAATTTAAAATGCTATGAAGAAACACTGAACAGCCTCCATGCAGATCCACCAAGATCAATTTAAAGTGTGATCTTAATTGTTACAAAAATGTTGAGCATGTTTGGTGTTTGATCCTGAGATTTCTTCTTTATTCTACAGCCTCTCACCCACTTTGACACCCTTTCTTCACATTTGTTCAGAAAATGTATTAAGCCTAATCTGGGATGACCAATCTGTAACTGTTTAAAAGATATGTCAGTAATCACAATTACATTTGTCATGCTAGAAACAAAGATATTGTTGTATTTACATTGCTTTTTTTTTTCTTGTCTTTTCCAGTGGATGTACATCGTGCCTCTCGTTCTCTTCCTGATGATGTCTGGTGCTCAGGACCAATCAGGAGGAGGAGCTGGAGGCGGAGCGGCTGGTGGAGGTGGCCGATAATCACCACACTGGAAAGTTTGTGTTTTTGGGAAGATTTACTGAACAATAGTTTGTTTTTGTCTGTTTTTAATCACTGTACATAATGATATTTAATGGAAAGAAGTGTCTGTCACACACCACTGAAACCTGCACAGTATAGACGAGATGCTGTGCATGGCAGATGACTGCATTTTAATACTGATGTGAAAATAAAGTATTTATTACTTGAACTGAATAACGTAAGACTGAATACTTTAATTTCTCAATTCTTGACTGGAGTTTTACTCTGATGCTTAGATTTTGGAGTACAGTAATATTCCAATTGGAATAAAATGCACATAAATAGGCAGTGGCTCTGTACATACAGTATATTCTCAATCACATTCTGATTAGTGAAGAAAAAAATCACTGTGAGATAGTGAGCTGCCTGCAAATTCTAAAATAATAAAAAAGTTACATGATAGCGTGGACTGTGTTTGGGTTTATTTTCCATGTGGTGGCATAATTACACCTTTCTTCTGTACACCAGGCATTTGGGTCTTCTAAGAAGCAACAAAATATAGTCAGTACAAAATTAAATATATTTAATTAATTTGCAAATGGATGGTGTTAATATGAATAAAAAATTATTCATCAAAGTGTGGAAGTAAAGAGATTACTATGAAAATATTAGTGGTTTAAGTATTCTGATTGTTTACTTAAATAAAGGTATCAATACCCCAGTAAATACACTGCTAAAAGTAAAAGTCATGCATTAAAAATGATACTTAAGTAAAAGTGTAAAAGCATTACCATGAAAATGTACTTAAAATACCAAAAGTTAAAATACTCATTATGCAGAATGGCCCATTTTCCATTAATGTATATCATTTTATTGGATTACAGTTACTGATGCATTATTGTGACCATCACCGCTAATGTTAGCATAGTTACCTTATATGCTTATAATTTGAAGTACTTTACATGCTCTTGTGTAGCTCGTGAACTTCCCATCAAGGATCAGTGATGTCTTATGATTATGCTTTATTTTTTTTATATTAATTTCATTGTGAGAAGTAACTAAATTTATCAAATAAATGTAGCGAGTACAAAGTACAATATTTTTGTCTGAAATGTGGTGAAGTCAAAGTATGGAGTAGCAGAAAAGCAAAGTACAGACACCCAAAAATTGTACTTTTGTATAGTACTTGATTTTGTGAAATCTGAGAAACAGTAACGAGTGTGGATGACCTACACAGAGGGGGTGACAAATGATGACCAGACTGGCCAGTAGGCCACTGGATCACTGTTTTCATTTACTATCAGAAGACACAGAGTGACTCAAGGACTGTGGGAGGAATGGACAAAGGGAGATTAACACACCAGCCCACAACATGACAAACATGCTCTCAGCAGTGTCAAGTAATAGCATCACACTGACAGTCTTCTTAGAATCCTGCAGTTAGTGGGCATGATGTGTACCCACAACAAATATATGCTAAGGCCTTTGGGTTCTTTATCTTGAAACGTAAACCTTGATCGACACACTGAGACTTCCATGTATCAGAGCTGAGCTGACACTGCACACACTCTCCTCTGTGATCTCCTGTATGTTGACGTGATTTACTGACAATGACTGGCAGCCTGAGAAAAGCACTGCTGGAGAGCAGCTTCATAAAGATGAGAGGGTTTAAAGTAGCTGACTGGAGCTGACTTTCAGGCCACTCTGGAAGGTGCTGTGCATTTGAATTGGTATACAAATCAATTGTGAGGGGATGCCACAAAGCATATTCTGTATATAACATCTATTTGTCACATGGACAAGCTGTACTTAAGACACACTAGCCTATCTCTTTCTTTTCCAAGAAGGAAAAGCAGTGCTGCTACTGGTACTGCTACTGGAAGATAAAGAGCAACATGACATATTGCTATTGGAAAATCACTGTAAATCACCAAGGGATAATGAAATACAGTAGGTTAATTAAATAGTCTCATGTAAATTTGATCAACTCAAGATAAAGTTGAATGTATTTTCGTCTAATTCTCTTACATTTCTCCTGTTGGTCACCCTTAGGAAAGCTGCCGCCATGTTTAAAGAATGGGTTTTTTTTTTAAATATTACAATAAGATATACAAGAAAGCAGAATAAAAGCAATAGTAAACCACACTCTGTATTGACTATTACTACAGTATTTGTGTTAAAAAATATCCAACCTGCCTATACTCAAAGCTCAATTCAAGCTAAACAAAATGCTGGGGATTGTCACTTTAACATCTTCTTTTTGCAATTTACCAAATCTGGGCAGATAATTCAAAAGTCAATATTCAATATTAAATTCACAAATATGAATTTAGATGACAAACTACAGGGTTCTCTGTCTTATAAAGACAATGAATATTTAGTTCATTGTTTTTTTTTCATTCTCCATCTGTTTCTTGACAATGCCATCCTTATCTGAACTGCTTCTGTCTCTTCACTATTAGTCTCCCACTTTCTGTTTGGATTTTTCCCTCTGACACCAAAATAGGCAAAGTTGTGAATATTTTTATTTTACACAGGACTCTGTATGTGCTTGAGTGGTTAACTTTACAGTCTGTCTCTTCGATGTGCTGAATTCAGCTTATCTGAAGAAATATGCTATTAACTCATTGTCTTTACTTGTACAGTAGAGTGCTTATGCCCTCTAAAGGGTTTTATTAATACTGCAGCCTCCCATATAATTATGCAATGAGTCTTTCTCTTTTTTGGTGTTGCTCCTTTATTGGAAACATAAAAGAAATTAACAGAACATTTATTTGGAAATGTCAGAAACTGACATTTGATCCTTTCAAACCAACCCAAATTACTCTCTCTCTCTCTTTCACACAGTAACTTTCTCATTCATTCGGTTATTTCAAAAAAGATATCTGGAGCAAAAAAAAAAAAAAACAATACTGATTTACATTCATTCTATCAGTCAGTCATTGGCAAAAGTAAAAGTACAAATAGGCATGTATGCTGGAGCCCTCCACTCATGTTTTGAAAAGCCACCAGCTTCACATTAGGTTAACCATTTCTCTGGTTTCTACCCCATTAAGGAATAGATTGGTGTGTTGTTGTTTTTTGGGGGGGAAGGGAAGTCCAACTATTTGCCAGCCGGTCATGTTATCTGGTTAACTATGGGAGCATATAAAGAAAATATTCCTGTTGTCATGGGAAAGATCTGGCACAGCATGCTAGCACTTTAGCATATAAGATGCTGAGTGAACGCAAAGACCATATCATTAAAATTATTAATAAAACTGACCTCTTCAAGATAAAGGGTTCATGACTTACAGATGCAAATATTTTTGTACTGTATTTAATGTCATTAACTCCATGTAGTTAAATGTGTTTTTTGAAAAAATGTTTGGTTAGCAAACTCAAAAGGTATTCTCCGCTACAAAGGCTGGATTCTCCCTGCCAACTGCAAAATTTCAAGGAATATTTTACCACTTTGAAAATAACACTTTCTTTTCAAGATTTAGAACAGGATGACTGACACCACTCTCATTTCTGTGCCTTAAGTATGGGATTAGCCTAGCTTAACATAAAGACAGGAAGGTGGGAAAAACAATTAGCAACAACAGTTAGCCTTTGACATTCAAAAGTATGGCTACTAAAGTTTTTAAAGCTCACTAAATAACACTTTATATCTCATTTGTTTAAACTGCACACATAGAAATGTAAAGATGGGAAGTTTTATAGGGAGTTTATGTTGTATGTATTTCTTAGAAAAAAAACACACCCAAAAGTAGCAACATCCTGGAGTCTTATCTGCACAGTGAGGTTACCAGACACTAGCACTACTGTCATTACAAGCAACCAGGTCAGAAAAAAAACAACTTTGTGATGCTGGAGAAATACATCTACATAAAATTCAATTAACAATTAATTCCATTCATGAAAACAGAAAGCTACAGTTTGTCTCTAGTTTCACTTGTCAAATTGTTCCAAGTATGTTGGGAATAATGGCCAATTTCCATGTTATTTCAAGTCTTCCAACATGCAGCCTATGGGTAGAGACACTGCAGACGTGCTGGGTGAATCAAGTAACAGGACCTACCTCTGCACAAAACCAAGACTTTTCATTTTTATATTCATGTTCATGCGCAAATTAACAAACAAGATAATATCACCTTGTTAATTAGAGAGCTTTAGAGCTGCTAGTAGGAGTGATTTCAGGCTAGCTACCTCTCCTTGCTTCCAGTTTCTATGCTAAGCTAACGGTTTCCTGATTCTAGAGTCGTATGCAACAGACATATCTGAAAGTAGTATCAATCTTTATCTCTCAAAAAGAAAATATGCATATTTCCCAAAATGTTAACAAACTACCCCTTTAGATTAATTTTGTATCACTTTTATGAATAGTTTTAAGTTCCTGACAGCTCACATTTTGCTGCATATCTGACACTTTAGAGCTACTTCACATTGCAATAATACTAATATCACTCAAAATTGCATTTGTATGAGGTGCTGGAGCTACAATAAGGTACTGGTGGCTGCTCCCAAGGGTTCTTATCGCTAAATAGGTAATTAGAGCAGAGGGTGAACTTCCGAAAAACTTAGCATCAGCACAGGAGGTTCATAACACTCAGCCTTAACGGTGGGAATATTACACACCCAGTTTTAGTGTCCTTTTTTAAACAGTGCAGTGGGTCACTACACACATCTTGAGGTCCAATCCTAATGTAGTGTTGGGGGATGTGTAGTCACTAGAATTGTGAAATGTGTAGTGACAAGGAGGAGGGGGGTGGGGTCAGAGAATAGTGTTGAAAATGTTTAGTGTTCACATTTCTTTTTCTTGTTACTCCCTGCAGCATGTGCCATTCATTTTGGTTAGTGAGAAATAAATGATGGTACAAGCAGGTCCACATCTCCCCCTGTCATTCTCTCCACATCTCGTTCATCACTCCAACGATTTTTTTCTCTTGTCTCGCCCTCACTCTCACTCAGTGCTTGAGGGAGAAGTCTCCTGTGTTCAGACGGGGCCGAGGCAAGGCCCCGAACATTTCTGTTCCATCAGTGGCTCCGGGCACCAGCAGGGCCTTCATACTGGCTGCGATGTGCTCCAGGTCAGCACAGCCCACCTCATGGACAGACACAAAGAGACTGCATGTTAACGTAGCACACAATCGTCAGGGGAAGTTAGGAGAACATATGCACATCAGTAGGAAAACTGGATTACATTTCTGTTGTTTAATGATCACTTCCTGTTGTTTGTGCTCTCAGAAGATGGCATTTGACATTCTGAAATGTTACTTGTAAAATATATAGCACAACCCTGCACAAAAGTCACACACACATATACTGTCACATGAACTGATGGACCTATGAGCTGATGTGCCAGGAAACTAAGAAATGAATAGCTCCTTTGTTTCATCCTTAGACAGGAGGCAGTATGTCAAGTGAAAACATCAAAACCAAAACACAACTTATAAATGTTGTCATTATGTATTTCTTTTAGGGATGTCTGTTTTTGCATTTTGGTTAAGCTGAACAAAGGCAATGGTTCTCAGTGAAACGCCACAAAACAGGAAAAACAAAATGGTTCTGAGAGCCTGCATTCTACTATTGAAACATTTACTAACTAAAGCTACTGCCTTCCTTGTAAATTAAATGCAAGACTTTTAATACTTCCTGAGCTTTTTTTTTTTTTTTTAGGAAACACCATTCAATACTTTTCAAGCCTGCAGATAACCTGAACGTTTACTCTAGTCATGTAACTGTTTCGTAACTATCTGACTGTACTGAGGACTGTCAGTCACAGATATGGTCAGCACAGATAAAAACCAGATCTAGTTCCTGTATTTCCTAATAGGTCTGTACTAGAATGACTGAACAGCAGCTAACTGAGCTGCAGAAACCTTAAGGAGTTCCCCTATATGTGCATTAGGGTTCTGCACTGTGAAGCAAGTTTAACTTAGTCTGGCTCTCTGTGGGTGAGCTGGCTTCACAAAACCTAACACGGGTGGTCCTGGAGGAACAGCTGGTTCAAGTAGTGGAGTACATTTACAACTTTACCCTAGAGTAATATAATCGCAAAGCATTTATTTTCCAGTGACAGTTGTGATTTTTGTCCTATGATGACACTACCTATAAAATGAAATAACAGCTCATTAAAAGGACAAGTTAATGTCTGATAAAACTAACTGAAATTCATAATTAACAGTTTACTGAAGTGTGTGGATATTTTTCTCTGTTTAAAATACCAGGTTAATATTTTTGCCATGGTGATCTAACCCAGTTTAAAGTAGCTTCATGCTCTTAGTAAACCTGAGGTAAAGATACTACCTTAAGTATGTGACTTAAGGAAGTAGTAGCATTAAACTCCAAATCACTCCACTCGTCTCCACCCAGCGCTCCCTCTCCCTGCTCCACTGTGCCACGCTCTGCCCAGCTTATCAAATATTTGTCATTATGAAATTACAAGAAACGAGAATGCAACATAACTTACTGATCAAACAGAAGTAATTGAAACCCTCTAATTGGTAAGAGAGGTCAATCCTCCTCAAAACCTTTTAGAAACTAATACAGCATCCCTTCACTGCTGCTCAATGAATCTGGTAGGCTTCAACAGCACCTCTCCACATTAAGACAAGTTTTGGAGCATATTTCTACAACAAATATATTTGCATGCTGTAGCTTTGAGACAAAAACTATCCAGCTAACTCCACAACAGTTTGATCTCTTCATGCCTCTTCTTTCCTTTAGTAAAATGGTATGTGCTCACCCGCTCTCCACTGTTGCTGTCTCCCTGAGCAGCTCTGTTGCCTCTGCAGCCCCACGCAGGCACAGACACAGGCAGCGAGCGGGCCAGAGCCATGGGGTGGGCATGACGGGACAAATATGCAGCTTGACCAACAGCTATGCCACGCAGCGGTGGAGGAGCATCCTCACTCAACGAGCCTTTGGCAAATAGAAAAAATGAATGTCAACAATGCACAGACCAGGATCTGTGCACACATGTAACTATATTCAGTCAACATACTGAACTCTTACCATCAGTGCTCTCCTCCTCCCCATCAGACTCAAACGGCTCACAGTCCCGCGACAGAGAGTCCTCATCCATGGAGAAGACACCTGAAACAGAAAATGATGTAAATCCACAGAATTGAAGCAAATCAGTGTATTTAAAGAGACAGATGAATAGCATCACTCCTCACCAGCACTTTCACTTCCATAGGGTCTCCTCTCATCCATGTCTTCCTCTTCTTCCTCATCTTCACACTCTTCTTCCAAGTCCACAATCCCAGACCTCTGTCTCCCCCGCCTGGCCTCCAGTGAAGTCTTCTCCCGTTCCCTGTCTCTGTTACCATTCTGCCCGGCGCCATGCCCAGTACCAGCTCCTGAGCTGTAGATTGATGGGTAGCTTTGGGAGTACAGTCGGCCATTGGGACTGACTCCACCCAGCCCACTGTCCCCTGTGTAGCTCTGGAACAACACAGAATGAAACACACCAGAAATGGTTTTGAACAAGCACCACTGTGCAGTATGCAACACAAGCAGGCCACTCACCCCCCTGTGTCCAGGGTCAGAGGTCAGGTCAACCACCAGCTTGCTTCCACCCTCTTCTCCAGCCTGCTGTGTGTATTTTTGGGCTGTTAGCACGGTGGTGGAGTGAAGCACACCAATGTCATCCATGTAGCGTCGTGCTGACTCGGCCAGAAACCCCTGCCCCCATACGTTATAGGAGAAATCAAACTCCCTCGAAAAGGCACTGCCGCTCTCCCGTTTCCTCAGCCCATCTCCGTCTCCAGCTGATGACCGGAACTTCTTACAGGCTGTAAGTATGGCCAGGTCACAGCCAGACTTTTGGCAATACGCTTCTGCAGCAGAAATTAGCACCAGCCAGCTCTCTTTGTAGTTGTCTAGGATCTCAGGCTCAGATGACTGGGTGATGGAGGCCATAATGGTGCTAAGTGCTGTTTACAGCTTTCTAAAATGGACAGACTTGATGAGACAACTGAGTAATGCTGATGAGTGACAATGAGTTTTAAGGTTTAAACTAGTCAGAAGCTTAGATAATGGTGAATTTTAGGGGCACCACAACAAATAGATAGAGACAGTTAACTTTGGTAGCTATGGTGCATCTGACTTTGCTCCAATGGCTGAAAAACCACTTCACTTATGTTTCTTCTGTGTTGCTGGTGTATGTTAGTTTTTGCACTGGGGCAGATGAGAGGGAAAATAATGATTTATCACAGAGAGAGGCACTAGGTGACTAAGATATGATATAGTGGGTGGTGTCCTTATGCACTGCAGAGCCAGGGGAGAGATGTTGCCAAATTGCTGGTGATACCTGGGAAAAAAGACAAAAGCAAGTATAGCTGAGAAAGAAAGAATGAAAGATAAGTAGAAAGAAAGAAAATTGCAAATTGGTGCTTCTGTTTTTTCTGCTGTAGGCAACAAATATGGCCAAGTAATCTGACTGCACCAAGTAAACGTGATACGATCACAACCTGGTCAAACTTGTCTGGCCTCTGACTGCTGCAGCCCCCACCACTTCGATGGGGCTGCATGACACCAAACAATGCTAACTAATGTAGCTGCTATGATGTTAGCTACTGGGGCTCTCTAACGATCCCGTTTGCTGCCATCTGTGCAATCGTTTCGTTTGCTGTATGCTGCGGTTTTTCCTCTGCACGGTTGCTGCAGCTGTTGATCTTGTTGTTTATTCAGTGTTGTGTCCAACCTCCTCATGATGGACCTACATATCACCTCCATTTTTCAGGCTATAGCAGGCGCTGAGACGCGCAATTATAAATTACAGATATTAGAAAAGACGTTCACCTACCTCTTCAGCTTTTTCTTCAACGTTGCCAGGTGTTTGTCAACCTTAAACTTTGCTGCTTTTTATCACTCGCCTTCTACGTTCTGCCAGTTTCCTCTCCCCAAGCTAAGCGCTACACTAGCAGCAAGTTAATAAGCGTTAAAACACGCTTTTCCGATTACAGATTTCAAAGTAAAAGCCGTCATGCTTAAGTTAAAAAAATGTTGCAATTAATATCATTGCGCTTGTTATTTTTACTTTTGTGGAAGAGTAATATGGCTTACTTAGTGAAATTTTACTTGTAATAAATTAGTTTACTCTGTATTATTACTTAAGTAAAGGGTCTAAATATTTTCCGTGGGCAAAATCAAATTAAATCCAGTTCCTGCATTGTACTGTACAGTTATGTTTGGACTATCCACCAGAGTTGTGCTAATATACAATGTACTATTTTATACTCTTTCTTGTGTATTTTATTGTTGTCTATATTGTAAATATTAGTGCATATTAATCTTTAGGCTCATTTTCTGCCTTTTCTTTTGTTTTATACTTAAAATTGTATATTTTATACTTAAATACAATTATATTAGCATTAATTATAATCCAATATATTCTGCAATGGATTATATTGCATAATGAGCAGCCCACTTTTACTATTACCTCAACAAAATATTTATGCTTTTAATTTTAATGTTAAACTCAGCTCGTATCCGGTTTAGTACCGCTAATATACTTGACTTCACCTGACGTCACCTGTTTACTGACTTCCATTCGAACGCACGTTGTACATATGACCGAGCTCGGTGGGCGGGCTCGTGCACGTCTTGTTCTCGTGGACGTTTGTAGCCCACCTCGTCACATAAACCCACCATCTGCTCACTAGTCACACAGTTAGGCTACACTTTGTTTCTGAAGGTGAACTTGTCACTGCAGCTGTTAGATTAATTTATAGTGGTATTCACATTAGTGCTAGTAGCCTAATGTTAGTAAACCTATATATGTCATAAATGTATACAATTTATTATATACATGCAATATGAACCCCTGTAATTTGTTCCAATAAACTGCACGCCCTGGATTTGAGTAGAGTTGTGTAATTTGATTCCTTTATGTTCAAAGTTTATGAAATACCACATTACCCACAGATTATTATGTGTTTCTTTTCTTGTAACATCGTGCAAAATCAATCATATCAATTTTTTAATTAATTATAATAATGTTAATGTTTAAATGTTGAATATCAGTTAAAATCGGAGAGCAGAAATCCTGTGATACAAGCCCTGTGTTTGGCTAGTTATATGAGGAAATATAATAGTTTCACAGTCAAGCCATTCCTGTGCACATGTATGCATAAGTGAACATATGCAGAATTGTGCATATTGGTCAGCTGCAGTGCTGCAAGAAGTACTCAGATTCTTTACTTAAGTAATAATAACAAAAACACTACTGCAGCCAAAAGCACTGCATTCTAAAAGCATTCTGATATTTTTTCAGTACCAAAGGTAAAAGTAGTAATTATGTAGAATTAATGTATATTATGTTATTGGATTATAATTTTGCATTATTGCATACATTAATTAATACATTAATTTAAATGTTGCAGCTAGTAAAGGTGGGGCTAAAGTATGAAGTAGCAGAACCATGTTTAAGTAATTGTAATCCGGTTCTGTACCGGAAATAAATTCCTTGTGTGTAACATACTTGGCCAATAAAGGTGATTATCCTTATCCTTATTAGGCTATTTAATTCCCACCACTTTGTTGTTTGTCAAAAAAAAAATCCAACCAGTGTTAAGAATCATACATACAAAGAGTTTTGTATTAATGGTAGATCAGTGTTAGTTATTTTTATTTCTTCCTTCCCCCATGTGGAGCAGTGATCACCGTTGGAGACAACGTTCCAAAACTTGCGTTAAGTATCACACTTGGAACTCTAAAACTTGAAGGTATTAAAAAGAAGGGTCGCAGTTTTTTTTTTTTTTTTGTTTGTTTTTTATTGTTTCTGACTTGACAAAGGTGAGTGTCACTGTGGGCCTGAGTTTAGAACTGTGAGTGTCCACTGCCCCCCAGTTGTCACAATGAGGAACGTTTGTTATATCCGCTTCTATGCCAATGACATCATTGGTTGGTGGAGTCAAAGCTTCTTCTTCTTCTTTCGGCTGTTCCCGTTAGGGTTCGCCACATCGAATCATCTGTTTAAACCTAAATCTATCCTCGGTATCCTGTACTCTCGCCCCAATTAACTTCATGTCCTCTTTTAGCACAAGTTGGTGGAGTCAAATGTTGTACTGTAAACAAGTGGTGTGATTAGCGCCCTCTAGTGTTCACCGTTTAGAACTCAATACAAAATTAATGCAAATCAATACAAGCGTGAACTTAGAAATGATAGCGTACTGCCACGTTTGGTCAGTAATTTAAAGATAGATACAAGTGACTAAAGTGATGCAAAAAAAAAAAACTGACTACAGAAACTATTTATCTAGAGGAGAACACTAAACAAGCTGTTATCAATTATGGATAACTCTGACCATCCTCTCCGATTTGTGCTTGATAGACAGTGGAGCTCCTTCGCTAAAAGATTTCGACAGCTTCGTTGCTGTAAAGCACGTTATAGGAAATCTTTCCTGCCTTATTCCATTAATTTGTACAATACATCATCTTGGAGCATTAGATGTTTCCTGGATTGACAGTAATTGTATACTGAATCACCTTTTGTATAGATTTGCATATGTTTGATTCATCATGTGATTATGTATATGTACTTGATTGTGTTGGGTTTGTTTCTAACTTTTAATGTATTTTTATTTGTTTTATATTTTAGTGGGTTATCTATTCTATTTATTGGTATGTGTGCTTGATATTGAGTGTGAACCGCTGCTGAAACAATGCAATTTCCCAGATTGGGATTAAGAAAGTATTTCTATCTATCTATCTAGTGTCATTGCCTGATTGTCACGCGTTGGTTCATGACGTCTCCTATGGGGGCGGGTCTCTGTGTAAACAGGAAGTATGACGTAACGTTTGTTTTGGAGGAATAACGAAGCAGTGTGACACAAGCTTTGGGGAAATGGAGCAAACCGCTGAAGATTACAAGGTATTCTGGAGTTTATACGATAACTTTATGGTTATTATTATTATGATTATCTTGCTGTCGTTATTTAAATTTGTGAATACTGACAACGTCCTTCCCATTCGGCTGTGAAATTTTGGGTGCAGCTATTCGAGTTTAGTGTCAGTGTAAGCTGATGTTGAGCTAGCTAACGTTAACTTATAGTTTTTCAGTAACCTTCCATAGAATAAAACTGTCAGCTACATGTTGCCATGTGGATGGTATAAAAGATGTATATCTAGCCGATATATGTACAACCATTCAGACTCTATAGCTAAGTTGGTCGATACTAGCTCATCACAGCAAAGTCTAAAGCAAAGTTTTCTAGTCGAGTTTCTGGCCAGGTGACCGCCCGGCCACCCTGAAATCATGTGATGTGCCTCTGTCATTTCCCAGAGCCTTTGTTATGCGATCTCACTTATCTGTCACAGCTATGTTTTAAAATACGGTGGAGCTCTTGATCCCTATACATGCTATTTTGTTTGGTCTGTTGGTAATGTTACAGTTTGTGCAATAAAGAAGACCTGATTTTATTTATCTGATTAGGTAGAAAGGTCGCAGTCAGTGAATCCCTAAAATGAATCGGTATTGTGATAATCCTTTAATTAGATTTTTAGTTAATTACCCAGTTTCACAAACAAGTAGGAACAATGTAAAGTTTTATTTTCATCTGTATCTGACCATATATCAAACTGGCAACCTATATGTACCTATGTATGTAACCTATATGTATGTATGTATGTATGACAGTGCACCAAGTGTTAGATTTTAGATCTGAGCCTTTTTAGAAGTGAGCTATCTCTTCCACTCTGCTGTCATTTCACAGTTGCGCTTCACTGCTTTATGTGGGATTTCTTTTTCCTCAGATGATATTTGAGAAGGAGGGGGTGTACCTCCACACAAACGCCAAGAAGGGTAGCCTGGACACATCCATGCCAGGGTTTATCCGCATTGTGGAGCGGGTAGGCAAATCTGTGTGACTCTAGCTTGTTTAGATACAAAGAGGGTGGTGAGAAAAGCACTGGAGTTATTAACCATGTCTTTGTTTTAGGCTGGGGTGCCAGCTTTAGAGTGGAGCCCACTGCAGGATGAGGCTGGCAGCACTCCCGCTGTATTCTACACCAAAAAAGTCAGTAGACATTGGTTTGCTCCACATAAATAGGACAATAGTGGGAGTATTTTTCTGTCATGTAACTCCCATACTACCCACTTCTTACTAATTAGGATGGAGAGGAGGATACGAACTTTGACCCTGGTTATGAACCAGACTGGGCAGTTATCAGCACTGTGAAGAAGGATCGAGAATGTGTTCCTGTCAAAGTATCAGGTGCAGTTTATGTTTCTGTCACCCTGGGAAAAGACTTTCTGTATATTGACAAAGGATGGGTGAAACTAAATATTCCCTATTTCACCTCCAGGTCAGTGGTCGTTCTCTCTGCCTCTCTCAGAGTTGTACTCTCTTCGGCGGGCCCGCTTCTCTTTTGGTCGAAACTTCCTAGTGTTGACTAGTAGGGGAGGTCACCCGCTTCCTCCTCTGCACTTCCACAGAGGCGGAACCAGGGAACTTCTTAGGGCTCTGCACCATTACATCATCCTTGACCCGTAAGTACTATCATCTCAAACCCATCTGCAATTAGACTTGATCTCAGGACAGTTTCAGTGTTTACATCTTTGTTGACATCTTAAAAAAGCGTACTAATTACATGGCTCTTGCTATCATTAGGTCCCCGGTTGATGGACGGCTCTTCCTCGCCTACCCTCATGACTCAGGCGCTCTCTCGCAATCCTTTGACAAGCTGCAGCTCTGTGATGATGGCAGCTCGGATCTTGTCTCGGTAATATAACCTTATTTACTTTTGGTATTTTAAAGAAAAACAATGGAAGAAAGTAGTCTGTAGTTCATTTAAAGGGGCCATGATGTTATCAGTTTTTTAACTGCATCACAGCACAAAGTAACTTTACATTCTTTGAGATTTCATAAGCTTGTTGATCAGTACTGATTAACTGGTCAAAGTCACACTCCGGGCCACACTTTGTTTAAAAATTTACATCCTAATCACTGA